TCACTCACCCCACCCCAACCAGACTGAAAACTCATACAAGAAACGAATTTGTTATTGTATTCCTGGGACCCAGTACCTGGCTCATAGTAGATGCTCAGTGGAGGAAAAGAGAAGGGAAAATGGGGGAGGCAAAGAAGAAGTAACAGAAGAAAAGATAAATCTCCCAGACTTTTAGGGGAAGTAAATTTAGAGACCACATAGCCTCACCCTCATATTTCAGAGATGAAGAAACAAAGCCTAACTGGGAAAGTGCTCTATTAAAATTCATACAGGCTACAAATGGGGGAATCACGATCAAACTCAGGTCTTCACAAGCTTATTCCATGCACTGCTAAAAAAAAAATTTATACAGCCAAATGAAGGATTTAACTTATCAAAGATAAGTAATAATTTCTTGCCATTTTCAAACAAAACAATGGAAATTAAGAGCATTGATGCTAATTTCAAAGCTATCAGTACCACCCTGGGTAAAAATAATAAGTTAGCTTCGACGTGGGTGGAACTGGAGGGTGTTATGCTGAGTGAAATAAGTCAATCAGAAGAAAGACATGTATCATATGACCTCACTGATATGAGGAATTCTTAATCTCAGGAAAGAAACTGAGGGTTGCTGGAGGGGGGGGGGGGGGGAGGGATGGGGTGGCTGGGTGATAGACATTGGGGAGGGTATGTGCTATGGTAAGCGCTGTGAATTGTGCAAGACTGTTGAATCACAGATCTGTACCTCTGAAACAAATAATGCAATATATGTTAAGAAAAAAAGAAAAAGAAGATAGCAGGAGGGGAAGAATGAAAGGGGGGGTAAATCGGAGGGGGAGACGAACCATGAGAGACGATGGACTCTGAAAAACAAACTGAGGGTTCTAGAGGGAAGGGGGTTGGGGGATGGGCTAGCCTGGTGATGGGTATTAAAAAGGGCACGTTCTGCGTGGAGCACTGGGTGTTATACACAAACAATGAATCATGGAACACTACATCAAAAGCTAATGATGTAATGTATGGTGATTAACATAACAATAAAAATTTAAAGAAAAAAAATAAAAAATAAAATATATTTGAAAAAATAATAAGTTGGCTTTAAGGAAAACATGGACACTCAGTAAACACTTGCTAAGTTGCCTCTGATTTTATTTTCTTATTTTTAAATTTAAATTCAATTAGTCAATATATAGTATATCATTAGTTTCAGATGTAGTGTTCAATAATTTATCAGTTGCATATAAAACCCAGTGCTCATGGGCGCCTGGGTGGCTCAGTCGGTTAAGCGACTGCCTTCGGCTCAGGTCATGATCCTGGAGTCCCAGGATCGAGTCCCACATCAGGCTTCCTGCTCAACAGGGAGTCTGCTTCTCCCTCTGACCCTCTTCCCTCTCGTGCTCTCTATCTCTCATTCTCTCTCTCTCAAATAAATAAAAATCTTAAAAAAAAAAAACCCAGTGCTCATCACATCATGTGCCCTCCTTAATGCCCATCACCCAGTTGTCCCATCCCCCCACCCACCTCTCCTCCAGCAACCCTCAGTTTCTTTCTTACAATTAAGAGTCTCTCATGGTGGGGCGCCTGGGTGGCTCAGTCGTTAAGCGTCTGCCTTCAGCTCAGGTCGTGATCCTGGAGTCCTGGGATCGAGCCCCGCATTGGGCTCCCTGCTCAGCGGGAAGCCTGCTTCTCCCTCTCCCCTCTCCCACTCCTCCTGCTTGTGTTCCCTCTCTCGCTGTCTCTCTCTCTGTCAAATAAATAAATAAAATCTTTAAAAAAAAAAAAGAGTCTCTCATGGTTTTTCTCCCTCTCTGATAACATCCCATTCTGTATTCCCTCCCTTCTCCTATGATCCTCTGCACTGTTTCTTAAATTCCACATATGAGTGAAACCATATGATAATTGTCTTTCTCTGATTCAATTATTTTACTTAGTATAATACCCTCCAGTATTCATCCTTTCTGATGGCTGAGTAATATTCCATTGTATATATGAACCACATCTTCTTTATCCATTAATCTGCTGATAGACATCTCCTTCCACAGTTTGGCTATTGTGGACATGGCTGCTATGAACATTGGGGTGCAAGTGCCCCTTCTTTTCACTACATCTGTATCTTTGGGGTAAATACCCAGTAGTGCAATTGCTGGGTCATAAGGTAGCTCTATTTTTAACTTCTTGAGGAACCTCCATACTGTTTTCCAGAGTGGTTGTACCAGATTGCATTCCCACCAACAGTGTAGGAGGGTTCCCCTTTCTCCACATCCTCTCCAACATTTGTTATTTCCTGCCTTGTCAATTTTAGCCATTCTAACTGGTGTAAGGTGGTATCTCATTGTGGTTTTGATTTGTAGTTCCCTGATGTCAAGTGATGTGGAACATTTCTTCATGTATCTGTATGTCTTCTTTGGAGAAATGTCTGTTCATGTCTTCTGCCCATTTCTTGACTGGATTATTTGGGTTTGGGGTGTTGAGTTTGTTAAGTTCTTTATAGGTCCTGGGTACTAGCCCTTTTTCTGAGATGTCATTTGCAAATATCTTCTCCCATTCTGTAGGTTGCCTTCCAGTTTTGTTGATTGTTTCCTTTGCTGTGTGGAAGCTTTTTACCTCATGAAGTTCTGAAGAGTTCATTATTGCTTTAGTTTTGCTTGCCTTGGAAACGTGTCTAGCAAGAAGTTACTGTGGCTGAGGTTAAAGAGGTTGCTGCCAGTGTTCTCCTCTAAGATTTTGATGGGTTGCTGTCTCACATTTGGGTCTTTCATCCATTTTGAGTTGATCTTTGTGTATGGTGTAAGAGAATGATCCAGTTTCATTCTTCTGCATGTGGCTGTCCAATTTTCCCAGTACCATTTACTGAAGAGTCTGTCCTTTTGCCATTGGATATTCTTTCCTGCTTTGTTGAAGATTAGTTGACTATAGAGTTGAGGGTCCATTTCTGGGTTCTCCATTCTGTTCCATTGATCTATCTATGTGTCTGTTTTTGTGCCAATACCATACTGTCTTGATGATCACAGCTTTGTAATAGAGCTTGATGTCAGGCATTTTGATGCCCCCAGCTTTGGTTTTCTTTTTCAACATTTCTTTGCCTATTCAGGGTCTTTTCTGGTTCCATACAAATTTTAGGATTGTTTGTTCCAGCTCTGTGAAAAATGTCAATGGTATTTTAATAGGGATTGCTTTGAATGTGCAGATTGTTCTGGGTAGCATAGACATTTTAACAATGTTTATTCTTCTAATCCATGAGCATGGAATGTTTTTCCATCTCTTTGTGTCTTCCTCAATTTCTTTCATAAGTGTTCTGTAGTTTTTAGAGTACAATATTTGATTAATGTCTGTTTCTATAGCAGGTATTATCCGTGCCTCTACCCATATCCCTCTCATTCTATGATTTTAGGGAGTTCAGCCAATTTCTGTATCTCAGGTCCTGAAAGCTTTTCTTGGAAACTGAAGGCTAATGTGCAGTAGGCTGAAGTGCCAAGGAATTAACAGCCTCTGCCAGACGTCCTCAACCAATGATCCTCTAAAGCTGGTATATAAATACCCCAATTCTCTTGCGCTTGGGAGGGATAATCCTGAGGTGTTATTTTACATATTTTCTCAATCTCCTACAGGTTTAAGCTTCAGTTCACTGCATTGTTCACTGTAACATCTGACTTAATAGGACACCCTCTAATAACTGCCTCCCCTTGCCTGTATCACTCCTCCACTTCTCTGTTTCCTGCACCTACCAAATAAACTATTAGCACTGGAATCCTTGTCCTGGTATTTGCTTCTGAGACATCCTGGACTAAGCCTCTTTCCTAAGACAGTAAGCCTATGATGACTATAGATTGCTTATTCACCACTGTGTCTGGTAATAGAGATGCTCAGTCAATAATTAAAGGGCGAAAGGAAGAAAGCATTATTATTATTATCATCATCATCATTGCTGTCAGTGTTGTTATTCAATGTAAAATACACAGCCCACCCTTCACTGAGCAGATTCAGTAGTAGATCTGATTCGTGAACAAAGTCAGGCTCTGGGGCCTTTGCATTTCACTTAGGGAAAATGAGAAAAGACTCAGGAATCAGGTTCTTTGAGGAAAGGCTGCCAGATGAGAGGTAATATCTGTTCTGTTTTTCTGTCTGAGTCAGGACTCCAAAGGCAGAGATGACTCGCTCTCTAGTGTGAAAGCCTCCAAGGTTGTCAGCTCTGTGACAGACACTTAACAAGACTTCAGAAAGCATTGACCTCAGCCAGCACACAGTCTCAAGGAGGTAACTCAGAATTAAAGTCAAATCAACAAGCCACTCCTATAATTGAGGCTCAATGTAGGAGAAGCTGTAGATATAGTTTGTGGCATAAAGGACAGGCATGTCACCTCAGGAAAAATTACAAGTCTAGTCAGCATGTCACCTCCCACTGCTGGCCAGGCAGAGATTTTAATGAAACATTCTTGGGATTAATCTGCACCAAAGGCCTGCTTCACCCAGCGCCTGACAGAGGGCAATTTATAGCTTAAAGAGATGTCATCAAATTTAATAGGCTTCAAATATCACCTTAAAATCACTGACTCCTTACAGGGTCCAGTTTTCATTACATCTCCTATCTGTCTGCCCATTTCACCTCATTCAAGAATAGGATTGGAGAACAAAAGAATAAAAAATCCCTCAAGCTTTAAGGCTAGAAATGACGTTATTAGACAAGGAACCACAAAATCAAATGTCTATAGTAGCCATCAGGAAGGATAAATGAATGAAGTAGCTGGTCAGGCTCTGTCAGGACCTGGAGAATATCTGCTGGGTTCAAGGGAGCAATGCTTTTCAATCCCAAGTAATTGTTGCCAGGCAGAAGTTCAGATCCAGTGTGGCCAGATTTTTTTTTTTCAAGAGAAGCTGCATATCCAGGTTTATAAATGAAAAATTCCCCTGTACTTAAGTATTGATATTTAATTTAATATTTTAACAATAATAAAACTAAGAGATAATAATAAAGAAAAAGAAAATTATTATATAGGTAAAGCTGGTAGGCATCTGGTACTCACCTGCTGTGCTGTAGGTGTTGTAAAAATAGTGACATCCTTACATTTAAATTCGTAAGCAGTCATTACCCCAGGCTCTCCAAATGACTCTCACCACCACCCCGGCATCCCTGGCCTGCCCCAGAATGTCAGTCTGTTCCACCATCCAGCGACTAAAGGGTTAACACCTAACTAACAAGTCACCTCAAGGATGCTGTTTTGGCATTATGGTCAGTGTCTGGTTGACTTGATCAGCATTTGCACTATACTTGTGAAATATTTTTAATATCACCTCTGTGTACAGTCCAACAGAACACATATGCCAGGAACATTGATCCTACCAGAAACCAGTTTGAGACCCCTAACTTATTCCAATTCCCCTTATTTGATAGTTGGAGAAACAAAGGTTGACACAGAAAAAGTTGTTTAATTAAAGTTATGAAACAAGTCACTGACAGACCCTGATAGGAACCCAGGACTCCAAGCTCATAGGCCAGGGCTTTATCCTCTTCATCAATAGCTACCAAACTCATGGGAAGTATGGATTGTTAAAAGCACAGATTTCTCTTAACTGTTAACTATAGAGAACAAACTGATGGTTACCAGAGGGGATGGATTAGAGAATGGGTGAAATATGTGATGGGGATTAAAGAGTACACTTATCATGATGAGCACTGAATAATGTATAGAACTGTTGAATCACTACACTATACACCTGAAACTAATATAATACTGTATGTTAACTATACTGGAATTTAATAACTTAATTTTAAAAAGAATGAAAAAATAAAAACACAGATTTCTTCTCTCTATACCACCCCTGCCAAAACTCTGGAGTTGGCCCAGGCATGAGTATTTTTCAAAAACTCTGCAGATAATTCTGATGATCATCAGATCTGCAAAACATTGCTGCAAACTGTACCACTGGCATACCAGTAAACTTTAGTTAGCCACGCAATTTCCTCTGTGGGACAAATTTGGGAAGAAGGGTGAAATCTCTATGGACATATTATTTAAATAATTTTCATCAGATTTTCACATAGAAGACACGTGTATATATGTTGGGAGGGCAAATGGTTTTTTTGCAAGGCTTAGATCTGTTTTATTGTCATACTGAAGGGAAGAAAATTAAAGGAGGAAATTTTCAGAGATTGGTAATAATTAAGGACCAGAGAAATGGAGATTACATGAGCACCAGCATCAGAACAGGACAGACAAGTTTCAGCTCTCTCACTTACTAGTTACACATCTTCAGATACCTCACTTAGGTTTTCTAGGTCTCACATTCTCCATCTGTAAAATGGGGACAGCAATACCCACTAAGCAAAATAATCACAGGTTTCAGAAATAAATCAGTCAATTCTGGATTACCCTGGCTCTAGATTCCTTAGTGACATTAGGAGCTTCATCCAGAGAGCCAAGTGAATATGCAGTCTATGCTCTGCTGACAGGAGTGTAAATACAGCTTTATCAGCCCCTGCCCAAAGCCCAAGTCTAGCCACAAATTGAAGGACAGCTCAGGCCTTTGTGGTACCTTCACACTTCTGATGTTCACGCTGATAAGTCCAGCTGAGGTGTCAATAATTGACACTAAGGTTTTGTTAGCAGCAATGTGGAGTTGCCCATGAAAGTCTGCTGGCATAGCCCATATGTAATTGTAGAGCTTTCCTTAGTCAAAAGGCACTTCTCATAGTACCTGATATATAGTGGCAATTGTAATGGCCATGATCATGAATGTAAGGTATGGCATAGTGATCTAGAACCCATTCTAAAGCCAGACAGACCAAGGTGCATCTATGTGACTTTAGATATTATTTCCAAATATCTCTAAGTCTCAAATCATCTTCAGTGAAATAGAGACAATAATGGTTACCTCCTATATTGCATTATTATAAGAATTAAATGAGCGAATATTGGAAAGATATTAACTTGGTGGCTGGCATATAATGGATGTTCAGTAACAGTTCTGTTTGGTGATAACACTACTAATATTAATTTCAGCATTCAACCTCAAGTTTGAGAGAGCCTTCAAAATAGGAGGTAAGATTTAGTACTAGAACTAGTAGCATAACAGGTACCCATGGCCTGATAAGAGGCTTGCACAGAGCAACGACCCATCTGGCCCCATGTGGAGCACATAAGTACTGAGAAGTTTTTTTATCCTTTAAATTTTTATTGTTATGTTAATCACCATACATTACATCATTACTTTTTTAGGTAGTGTAACATGATTCATTGTTTGTGTATAACAAGCATGTGTATAAAAAACTCTGCTCCACGCAGAACATGCCCTCTTTAATACCCATCACCAGGCTAACCCATCCCCCCACCCACTCCCATTCCAGCAACCCTCAGTTTGTTTCCTGAGATTAAGAATTCCTCATATCAAGGGGCGGAGCAAGATGGCAGAGGAGTAGGACACCTAGATTTCGTCTGGTCTCAGGAACTCAGCTGAATAGGGATCAAACCATTCTGAACACCTACGAACTCAAAGGAGATCAAAGAGGAGAGTAGCAACAACTCTCTGAACAGAGAAGCGACCACTTACTGGAAGGTAGGACATGCAGAGAAGTGAATCCGAGGCAATATTCGGGAGGAGAGACGGCGGGGGAGGGGCCTCCGCCGGCCGCTTCTGGCAAGTGATAGAGCCGCGGAGCACAAAATCGGACCTTTTAGAAGTCGGCTCCGCAGAGGGACGTCGCTCCAGTGGCTAAGCGGGGGTGGAACCCTCACGGGACAGTGGGGTCTCAGGACTCTTGGGGTCACAGAAAGACCGGGGGAGCCTGAGTGCGCCAGAGCTCCCAGGTATCAGAGCGGGGAAGCTGGCTGCAGAGACAGAGCCGAGGCATGGGCTCTCAGCTCGGGATTGCCCTAAACTGTGATCTGCAGCCCAGTTGGGCCACTGCTCCTGCAGCAGGGACCCAACAAGCGGCAGATCCGGGGAGACTCCCCTTCCTTCCCGGGGAGGAGTGGCGCGGGAACGCACCGCAGGGATCTGCTGGGTTTGGAGACTCCACACGGGGTCGGGTGCCAGAGATACAAATGCTCGGTCACAGGCTGGGTGAACACGGAGTTCGGCCGGAGACTGGGGACAAGGGAGTGACTGCTTTTCTCTGGGGGCGCACTGAGGAGCGGGGCCCCGAGTTCTCAGCTCCTCCGGGTGGAGATTGGGAGGCCACCATTTTTGCCCTGGTCCTCCAAGGCTGTACGGAGAGCTTGCAGGGAACAAAAGCTCCTGAGATCAAACCCGAGCAGCTTGCTTAGCCCGGACCGACAAGGGCGGGGCAATTCAGCCTCCGGCAAAGACATTTGGAAACCACAACAACAGGCCCCTCCCCCAGAAGATCAGCACAAACAGCCAGCAAGCCAAGACCAAGTTTACCGATCAAGGAGAACGGGAGAACTCCAGCGCTAGGGGAATACTGCACATAGAATTCATGGCTTTTTTTTACAATGATTCATTAGTTCATCAAAGTTAATTTTTGTTAACTGTTTTTTTTTCTTTTTCTTTTTCCCTTTTTCAACCAATATCTTATCAATCTCTTTTTAAAAAAAAACATTTTTTATTTTTCATTTTTAGAGTCATATTTTATCGCTTCATAGTAGTTACCTTATTTTTGGCATATATATATAAGTTGTTCTCTCTTTAAAATTTTGAGATACAGTTTCTTCTAACAGATAAAAATATACCCTAAATCACTAGTGTATGGTTCTGTTCTAGTCTCCTGCCTGATCACATTCTCTCCCTTTTTTCTTTTTTTTTTAAAATCTTCTTTCTTTTTTCAAACAACTTCTTATCTTATCAAGTCCTTTTATAAAATCTTTTATAATTTTAATCTTTACAGTCATCTTCTATCCCTTCATTGTATCAACCCTTATTTTTAACATATGTCTTTCTTCCTTTAAAATTTTAGGTGGCACTTTTTTCTAACAGACCAAAATACGCCCAAAATCTACTGTGTGGCACTGATCTATGCACTAGCCTGATCATATTGGATCACATTCTGCTTTTTTTGTATTGTTCTGTTTTTTTTAACTTTTTTTTCTTTTTTTTTCTCTTTCTTTTTCTTTCTTTCCCTTTCTTTTCCCCTGGTTTCAGGTATCTTCTGATTTGTATAGAGTATATTTGCTGAGGACGTTGTAAACCTGTTAGCATTTTGGTCTCTCATTCATCTATTCTCCTCTGGACAAAATGACAAGACGGAGAAAATCACCTCAGCAAAAACAACAAGAGGTAGTACCGTCAGCCAGGGACCTACTCAATACGGACATAAGTACGATCTCGGACTAGAGTTCAGAATCATGACTTTAAGATACGAGCTGGGCTTGAAAAAAGGGTGGAAGTTATTAGACAAACCCTTTCTGGAGAAATAAAGAACTAAAATCTAACCAAGTCGAAATTAAAAAGGCTATTGATGAGGTGCAATCAAAAATGGGGGCACTAACTGCTAGGATAATTGAGGCAGAAGAGAGAATCAGTGATATAGAAGACCAAATGATGGAAAATAAGGAAGCTGAGAAAAAGAGGGAGAAACAACTACAGGATCACGAGGGCAGAATTCGAGAGATAAGTGAAACAACATTAGAATAATTGGGATCCCAGAAGAAGAAGAAAGAGAGAGAGGGGCAGAAGGTATATTGGAGCAAATAATAGCAGAGAACTTCCCTAATGTGAGGAAGGAAACAGGCATCAAAATCCAGGAGGCACAGAGAACCCCTCTCAAAATCAATAAAAATAGGTCAACACCCCGACATCTAATAGTAAAACTTACGAATCTCAGAGACAAAGAGAAAATCCTGAAAGCAGCTCGGGAGTAGAGATATGTAACCTACAATGGTAAAAATATTAGATTGGCAACAGACCGATCCACAGAGACCTGGCAGGCCAGAAAGGACTGGCAAGATATCTTCAGAGCACTAAACGAGAAAAATATGCAGCCAAGAATACTATATCCTGCTAGGCTCTCTTGAAAATAGAAGGAGAGATAAAAAGCTTCCAGGACAAACAAAACCTAAAGGAATTTGCAAACACGAAACCAGCCCTCCAAGAAATATTGAAAAGGGTCCTCTAAGCAAAGAGAGAGCCT